CCACTCGCCCACGCTGCCGGCCGTGGTTGAACAGATGCTGCCCGCCATCGGAGCTGGAGCTCACTTCGATCTCTTCCCAGACCAGGGCCTCAGCGAGGCCGTGGGCCTCAGTGCGGCTGCGGGTCTCAGACGGCACACCGTGGACAAGCAGGGCCTGCGCCGAGGTGGACGGGAGCTGGCTCAGGCTTTCCCCGCTGGCCAGGCTGGACACAGAGCCGAGGGAGCTGAGGCTTTCCGAGGTGGCCAGCCGGGCTCGCTCTGGGCTGGAGGCCAAAGAGCTGAGGCTCTCGGGGCTGGCCAGGCGGGCCAATGCTGGGATGGAGAGAATGGAGTCGAGGTCGTCGTCGATGCTACTCAGGTCTCCCTCTGAGGAGAAAACAGACAGGTGTGTCAAGTTCAAAGTGCCTCCACGGGCCTGCGCGGGGTGGGGGCGGGGGCGGGGGCCGGGAGGAAAAGGGTCTTCACCACCTGCCTCTGGTCCGAGCTGCCAGGTCCCCTCAGCACTCGCAGCATCGCAGTTGGTCTCTGTGACAAACTCAACCATCTCCAGCTGGGGTCTCTGGTGCTCAGGGCACTGAGGAGCAGAACCAGAAGGAGGTTAGCTCGCAAGGGACGGTCACGGTGGGTGGCCACTGGCGTCCGGGGGGTCGGCCTGCTCCCTTTGCAGCACGGTGTAGTGTACCTGGGCAAGGCCTGCTCGGACAGGGCGGGTGTTGGACATTAATGTACTGCCCGCAGCCAAAGCCTCAGCTTGGCCTTGGGAGTCTGAGCTGCCAAGGCTGGAGGGGTAGGCAGGCCAGCCTCACTGACGTCTGCTTCTTCCTTTCAGCCTCCGTGGGCCCCCCCTTCTCCCTGTAGCTGTCCCTTCCCACCCCACCCTGGTAGTGTGCCAAGTGGCCAGGGTTGAAGCCCCAAAGGCTCTGCCACCTCCGAGCTCTGTGACGTGACTGTACCTCTGTGTTCAGTCCCTTCGCCTAGAAAGGAGTGGTGACAGACCGTCCTAGTCTTTGCTATCTGGTGTGCATGTCGGGAGAGGCGGAAGGCTCCCGCCCGTCCAAAAGCCCAACCTGCACTTCCTCCCTCACCACCTCCTGGTAGTGATAGTGGTTGAGGACTCGCTGGGTCCGCCTTCGTCGCCTGTGATGGCACCGAGCTCCTCGGCTGTGGAAAAGGTAGTTGATGTAGACGTACTCCATCAAGGAGAAGAACACGAAGAAGAAGCACACCATCATGTAGATGTCGATGGCCTTGATGCAGGCCACTGGGGGCACTTTATTCCGCACGTGAGAGTTGACGGTGGTCAGGATGAGCATCGATGTCAAACCTGTAAACAAGGCATAGGCTCAGCCACCTCTGGGCTGAAGCTCTGGGCGAACCACGGAGCCCACAGCCCAGCTAGCGGAGCGCCGGAACCTCAGGCCACCCCTGGGGTGCAGAGGGCCCTCAGCAAAAGGCCTGCAGCTCTCTAGGTTTGGGGTCTTTTCTCAAGTCCTCTCCTAGCCCCTCCTCCTCCACCGTGTCAATGGTTCAATGACTTCCCATTGCTCTTAGCATCACGTCAAAAGTCTCCAGACACCGTTTGACCATTTGCACTCCATTTTGCTCTGTGCTGGCCCCTTCCCCTTTTGCCTCCAGTACACAGGCCTTCCTTGAGTCCCTCCTCACTCCTTGAGCTCCCATCCCTCAGTAGGTTTCGGGAGCCGTGAAATATCACCCCAATACAGAGGTCTGCTCCAGCATGCACGCGTTCCTAAGGAAGGGGCCTGTGGCGTCTACCCCTAAGGTGGTAAAGGACCAACCAGGCCCTTCAAGACCCAGAAGGCCCTCTCCTTGGTACTGCTCAAATCCCTTGATGGCTCCCTGCTGCCTTGACGAGACTGCAACTCTCCCCAGGCTGGGTTTAAAGTTTTCTGCTACTCTCCCAGCTCCTTGTGATTTAGTCCCCCTTGGGGGCCCCAGACAAAGGAGCCCTGGTGGTGCGGTGGGAAAGCGCCGGGCTGCTCATTGAAAGGTCAGTGGTGGTTCAAACCCATCAGTCACTCCATGGGAGAAAGATGTGGCAGTCTGTTTGTAGACTGACAGCCCTGGAAACTCGACGGGGCAGTTCTACTCTGTCCTGTAGGGGCTGCTGTGAGTCGGAAGTGACTGATGGCAGTGAGTTTTTTTTTTTTTTTTTTTGTTTTTTCCGGTTGTGCTGTGCTTTCAAGCAAGCTGGTCCTTCTTTGGGGAATGCTATGTCTTGAGTTTCTGCTTCCTACAACTCCTTAAACCCAATCTAGACAACACCGTCTTGATGCTGTTTGGCCACCAGCACCTGGTCCTTCCTCCTCTGGACTCCTCTAGCTCTGCTTCTGGCCTTTCCTCGGGAGTAGCTCTTCCCAAAGCCTCTGCTGCCTGGCAGGGACAGCCCGGGCCCTGGTGCTTAAGTGTCTGTGATCTGATGTGACAGCTTGGTCATTGTCTTATATTATTCCATAGCTGATGGATTCTGGGACCTTGGGCCCAACCCACCAAGGCCTCAGCCCTAATGTCTTTTTCACACCTGTCTCAATTGCCAGGCTCTTGCTGGGGGGTGGGTAGGCTACTGAGAGCTGCCCAGATGCCTCTTGGCCCTGCCCCATCCCTGGAGTGAGGTCATACACCACTCCAAGGATCCCTCCCTGATGCTTGATTTTTTTTCTTTTTGAGTACAATGACCCAAGTCCCCCCTAGAACAAGAACAGGACTTGCCGACTGTCACTCTGGCAGCAGAGGAGTCATAGTTCATCCAAAATGATATCCAGGAGAGAACAGTGGTGAGGACAGTGGGCCAATAGACCTCTACGAGGAAGCTGGTGACTCCCCTTTGGACCTGGAACCTCAGGATCAGGCGCATGTAAGAACCTGCCAAGGATGGACAGCACCATCAGGGCAGGGTGCCAGGCTCTGTAGGGTGGAGAGGGCGCTGGGCTGTCCAGGCTCTCATAGGCTGCACCCAGAGGCAGTGGATCGGGGGAGGGCAGTGAGTTGGGGGAGGGCTAGGTCATAGGGAGGTCCGTGGGTCAAGGGTAGGGCGGCAAGTCAGGGGGATTCCAGGGGAGGGTGGCATGTCTGGCATGGCCCCGGTCCATTCGTGCAGCCGACCTGCCCACTCCGACCACACTCAGTGTCCAGCTGGCGATGATGGACCCTCCCCCAGCCTCTTCA